GATGTTTGTTTTAATAATTTGATCTACATGTTTTCGAACTAGGTTTAAAGTTACATCATCTTGTACAATAAACAACATGTTACCAATTTTTTTCACAATTGTTCCTTTAGCCCATGAAAACTTATTAGTATTACAATATTTTTTATATAATACAGACTCTCCCGTTGAAAACGATTTTTTTATTTTACCACCATAAGATTTAACCTGCGAACACTGTTTAGACTTTACGTTATTGGCAAGTTCTGTTGACGAGGGGATCGGCTGTATTGGATTAATTAGGTCTAACCGCGATCTTAATTTGTGCCAAAAAACTAGGTGAGCTGGTGATGAACCTGTGGTAGAATAAATCGAATTACGATAATTGAAAAGATATTGTAGGATACTTATTTTACATTCTCTTGAATTTTTACTTGTTGCCAGACTAGATATAATACCCTTTTTGACAATTTTCACATAGCTCTCGACTTGACCATTACTAGCCGGATGATATGCAGGCGACTTCACATGTTTTATACCATTTAAATTACAAAATCTATTGAATTCTTCGGAATAAAACGATGTGCCATTATCAGAAACCAAGGCGTGAGGTATTCCGAACCTAGACACAAACTCGAGCATTTTGTCTATTACCGCACTAGAAGTAGTTGTGGTACACATATCGAATACCTCGACCCATTTCGAGTAGGCATCGACTATGACCAGATACATACGGCCGTTTATCGGACCCAGCAGATCCAGGTGTATCCTGTAGAATGGTCGGGGAGGTAACTGCCACGGTGACATAGGTACCCGCGGTGGTGATGCTCGCAACTGTAAACAAACTTCGCAGGCCCCAATCATCTTTTCCAGCTCGTCATCAAAACCCGGAAATCAAAACCATGATCGAGCCTCAGCTTTGGTTTTTACAATACCGAGATGAGAATTGTGCAATTCCGATAAAACACGTTGCCTCAAGGAAAAGGGGATCACCACCTTATGGCCTCGAAGTACACACCCGTTTTCGTACGATAGTTGTAACCTACATTGATAATACGGATTAATTTCTGTATCTTTAACCCGCTTTGGCCAACCCTTTTGTATGTAATGAATAACTTTAGTCAGGGTTGCGTCATTAGCCGTAGCCTGCCGAAGCTGGTCTGCTGTCACGGGAAAACTACCTTGCGTTACAAAACACACATAGGCTGCCCTATCCAGCTCTTCCTTGTGCCCCGACTCTTCGACATGGTCCTCAACACTTGCTCGCGAAAGGAAGTCCGCGCTATTATTACAACTACGCACATATTCTATTACATAATTATAAGCACTTAGGAACAGTGCGTACCTTTGCAATCTGTTTGCGGATACCTCCGGCATGCCTTTATGTGAACCAAAAATTGACAATAACGGCCTGTGGTCCGTACGTAATGTGAATGGAGTCGACCGGCCGTATAGGTATTAATGATACCGACGCACGCCGAATATTATCGCAGTTGCCTCCTTTTGTATCTGAGAATATCTTTTCTCGGCGCTATTTAAGGTACGAGACGCATAAGATATCGGCCTTTATAATCCGTCATCGTCGATTTGCGATAATATCGCGCCTAAGCCATTTGGTGACTCGTCGAATGTTAAATATAGTTTTGCATTTTGATTAAAATGAGCTAATGTCCGTTCCGAAATCAATATTTTTTTAATCTTATTGAAAGTTTTCTCATGTAATTTACTCCAATTCCATTTTGTGCCCTTTTTTTAGCAAATCGTACAAAGGATATAAAATTGTTGAGGCGCCCGGGACGAAACTTCTGTAGTAATTTACAAATCCTAAGAAGGATTGCAGCTGTAAAACGTTCGTAGGCACGGGTGCCTCTATGATTGCCTTAACCTTTTCTGGCGATTTTTTTAGTCCATTCTTAGTAATGACGTAACCCAAATATTTTATTTCGTCCTTGAAAAATTCGCACTTTGTCCAACGTCAACCCTGCATCCTGCAGCCGCTGCAGCGCCGCATTCAGCCGATCCATGTACTTTTGGCCGTCACGGCCCGTGATCAGCACGTCATCGAGCAGGCACAGCACCCCCGGCAGCCCCGCTACCTTGCACTCTATGGCGCGTTGGAACACCGCCGGAGCTGACGCCAAACCGAACACGAGCCTCGTGTATGTATAGGCCGCGGTGTGTGTTTATACATGTTATTTTTTGAGATTCGTCTAAACAAAATTGGTTGTAAGCCATTGATAAATCTAACTTTGTGAATTGTTTACCACCGTACAATTTTGAAAATAACTCGTTAATTGTCGGTAAGGGGTATTGCTCTACGACGAGTTGTTTATTAATAGTAACTGAATAATCGGCGCATATCCGCACGGTGCCGTCTCGCTTTAAAACTGGAACGATGGGAGACGCATATTCCGATTATTCTACGGGACGGAGTACTCCCATTTCCACCATTTTATCGATTTCTTTGTCGACCTTTTCCCTCAAAGCGAAAGACATAGGACGGGCTTTAAAAAAACATGGACGGGCATCGTCTTTTAAGGTCAGGGTTACTTTGTATTTATTAAAACACCCTAGTTTACCTGAAAAGGTTTCGGGATACCGTAAATGTAATGAGTCAATTTCATTTTGAATTTGTTGACAGTAATTAACGGGTGTCAGTTGTAATCTAAACAAAGAAATAAAGTCACTTCCTAATAACGACGGCCCCCCGCCTCCGAACCGCACCAACACGGTCGCGACGCCCGTGCAGGCTATCTCGCTACCGGTATAGCTCATTAACCTTTTATCGGTCGCTGACAATGGCACGTCGTTAAAATGAGTTTTGTATGTTTTTTCAGTAATTACCGTTACTGCTGACCCACTATCTATTTCGAAACTTAAATTTACCCCATTAACAGATACGGTTTCTACCATAGGTTCACCTTTAAGCGATCGAATATTAAATAACTCACCGTCGTCCTCCTCGCCTACATCGCCTGCCAACACATAATTCACTTTTGTGCACATCCTACGTAAATGCCCTTTAACTTTACACTTTTTACAGGTATAGTCGGCATAGCGACAGTCGGCCGTTTTATGATTTGAGTATGCACATACTGCACACTTCACCTTTTCACCTTCTCTCTTCTTAATTTTGAATAGCTGTTGATCAGCGGCGGCGCCGACGACAGTGCTGCTCGCGGCGTCGCGCGCGTTGCGCATACTTTCAGCCATATCAACCGCATTCACTAAGGTCAAAGTCGTGAAATCTTGTGCGTATATGCTTTTCAACTCCCGGCAGCATTCCCATGATAAAACGATCACGTAGCGCCTCCTCCACGTTCGAAAACTGACAGTTAGCGGTAAGTCCACGTATTCTCGCGGCCCACTGCGACGGTGTTTCGCCATGTAGTTGAGTACCAGTATAAAACTTATGACGCTCTCAAAACCCAACCTGTTTTGGGATGAAATGCGCATCCAGCAATCCCAAAATGTCTTCATAGGGCACTGTTTGTAGCTCTTTTGGAAGGGCCAAGTCCGACGCTAACTTATATGAGCCATCGGTGAGTGCGCTCAGCAAGATCGCTCGTCTCTTGATTCCCGCTGGAGCATTAACTATATCAATGTCGTTCGCGATGAACCACTGTGTAAATCTGTTCTTGTAAGTTTTCCAAGACTGTACACTATGATCGAAAACAGACAAAATACCGACATTTCCGATCGACATTTTGTTTTTTAATACGAGGGTAAGCTCGTCGCCACTGTTAAATATTGTGTTGCGGGAAATGCGAGTGAAACGCGCTGTGGCTGGTGACACACTGAATATATTTCAAATAGCGGTCGCATATTACATACATAATAATATGTGTGCGTTTGGCAGAAAAAAGCGCTAGCAAGCGCTTATAAGCGCTAAAATAGTTTTCGGCCAGGACACGATTGCTACTTCAGTAGCGCTGACACAATCCGCCATTTTGCTTATTTAATTTGTTTGTTTTGAAGTAGAGTTTATAAGTTGTTTTGTGCAATATTAGTTTTAAGTAATATAATGACATGAATAAACATATACATGCTATTAAAAACTCATGATTGGTAAGTTTTTAATATGAATACTTTACAAACATATATTTAAATTAGGTTAGATTCCCCAGTTAAAACTAACATCGTGTCCTGGAAGAAAATAGCTACTTACGATTTGACAGCGCTTACCGCTTACGATCGCCATTTTGCTTACAAGCGCTTGCTAGCGCTTTTTTCTGCCAAACGCACCCTATGTCTTCGTTCTTTTTTTTAATTTTTAGACATTTTGATTTTCTTTCACTACCGAACACGTAAATCAATTTATTAAAATGGCAAATAACATTTTTTCGGTGCTGTCGGGGATCGAACTCGACAAATTCTTAATGATTGCACTGTTTAAGCCATCATAGTCCAAAAAATGTAGTAGCATTACGTTCAGTTTGGGCAGATACGAAATTTGGTTAAAAGCAACGAGAAACTGCGGGTTTACCATAATAACTAGCATGGTTCACTTTAGTCCAGTGATCCTAAATACCAATTTTGAGCAATGTTAGTGCACGCGTGGGAAGGAACCAGAGGACAAAACTCTGTGATCAACGTATCACAAACTCCTGAAGTCTTTGAAGAATAGACCCGATGGAAAATTTGAAACAAAACTAAAATCTAATATGCATATATCTTAAAGCTGGTGGGGGTTTATAAATATGTAAAATATATACTCGTACTATGTAGCTTGCAACGAAAACACTATGGTTCCCGTTGAATGCGCTATCAGAATCTGTATTCAAATGCATACGAGTAGACTTTATTTCAGAAGAAATAAATAAATTTTCTAGTAGAATCTTTATTTCAGAAACTCGACCAAAAAAGGTTTAAGTCATAATATTTTTTCGTTGCAAATTGTGTGCGGTTTTACCTCTCATTGGCTGGAAGTAAGAGTATTGTCAGACTGCTTTACCGATGTGCATGTCAGTTAGAGGTAATAAAACTTCATACAAGTTGCTTAAGTTTAACAGTTGTTCACTTACCTCAAACTCCATGCGAACAAAATAAGCACCATCACTGTCGACGCTGTACACTGTTATAAAGCCGTCACTGTCCGCAGTCACCACGTCACCGTCTGGTTCGAACTGTAGCGCAGTCACGTGGGTGCGGGATGGCTAACAAGATAATATTTTTTACTATAATAATAATATTTTTATTTACTCTCACAATATAAATTAACAAGGTAGAGTATAAACAATGTACACTATGGGCTGAGAGTCTGGTGTCTGTACTAGGCGGAAGCCAGTCTTACGGATTATTACGGAGTCTTACCAATTCTAGCGTTTACCTTATTATATAGATATTTAACAAGAGAGATAAAAAATTTATGTGAAAATTTGATACAATGCGTGTCGTAGTAACAGACTAGATCATTTCTGTGCTTATCTTTTATCAATTGTAAATTATAGTGTATGAGTGAATGCTTTTTAGTGATACATTGTAGAATAAATAGCTGCCTGACAGATAGGACTTTCCAATGTTTGTATAGGTCTACAGTAGGGTAAAGAAAGGAAAGTGAGGCGGATACTTTTAGTATAGCTCTCTGTGCTCCTTCCAGTTTTATTATTTTTGTCCTTTCAGAACCACCCCAGGTTGTTATGCAGTATGTGATAATCGATTGAGGTAAGGCAAAGTAAACTATTTTGATGACTTTTGAGTCAGCTGTGTGCTGTGCCTAATGTTTTTAAAAATGTATATTAGCTTTCTTACTCTAGTTGTTAATTTATGTGGCTATGAAAACTGAGTTTGTTATCAATAACTACTCAATAATACTGTGCAATGAAATTGTGACGTTTTCAGCTTTGAACATGTGTGTGCTTTTAATGAAAATTGGGAGTTAATGTTATTTGTTGAACGCATGGTAAAAGTTATATGTTTTGTCTTTTGTATATTTAATGTTAAAATGTTGTTTATTAGCCCGTCACATATCTTATTTAAGCCTCCCTGAGCATTTGTATAAACTTCTTATCACGTATTAGCATGAAAAAAGAGGGCTGTATCGTCAGCAAAACCTTACCTTGGTGTCGCAGAAGTCGCAGAAGAATACAAAAAGTCTTCGATCACACGCTTAATCTCATGGCTGTTAGAGGGCAAATGAAGCTGCAGTCTTCAGCAGTTTTGACAACATATCAGTAACTCAACAGATAGATCACTGACGCAACTTCAATACAGCACGTATTGAAGAAGCGATTGAGAGGAACCAGGCCTCAAAACTCTTTACCAGAGATCTGTCTGCCAGAAAAAGCCAACTGTAGAATCTGAAGACCGAGTGTTACGCATGATTTCCGGGACACCTGAGATTTTGAGTGAGATTGAGAGGTTTTATGAGCGGCTGTATACGTCATCGTTGGAGCCACACGCATGTGTAAGTAACAATCCACGAGCAAGTCTTATCCGACACTATTCCGATGATATCCCCGACGTCAGTCTGAGTGAGATTAGAATGGCTCTCCAGCATCTTAAAAATTGCAAGGCCTCAGGTGAGAATGGAATTACAGCGGAGCTTCTGAAGCGGGTGAAAAACCGGTACTTGGAGTCCTTCAGAAGCTTTTTAATTCCGTCCTCCATGGTGTCACTACAATCTGCCACTATGCCTTGCATATGTGGACTATGTGAAAGCCTTTGATTCCGTCGAAATTCGGGCGGTGCTGCAATCCCTTCAGCTGTGCCAAGTTGACTGTCGGTACATCGAAGTGCTGACGTGTTTTCATAGTAGAGCTACGATGGCTTTCCGAGTACAGAACCAGAGTACGTACCCTATCCAACTGCAGAGAGGTGTAAGACAGGGTGATGTTATATCCCAAAAACTTTTCACCGCTGCATTGAAAGTCGTTTTCAAGCTACTGGACTGGTACATCACTCACCTTCAATTTTCCGACGATATAGTCCTTATGGTAGAATCGCTGGAGGACCTAAGCACTATGCTCAATGACCTCAATTGTGTCTCCCAACGGTAGATTTTAAGATGAAGATGGATAAAACAAAGATCATGTTTAATGTCCATGTCACACCTATGCCGGTAGTTGTTGGGAGCACTGAGCTCAAAGTTGTTGACGAGTACGTTTAGCTGGGACAAATAGTTCAACTAGGTAAGTCCAACTTCGACCGAGAAGTCAATCGTCGCATTCAACTCGGCTGGGCAGCGTTCGGGAAATAACGACACATCTTCTCGTCAGGTATATACCTTAAAACCTGAAAACTAGATTGTACAACCATTGCGTGTTACCAGTGATCACTTATGGGTTTGAGACGTAGTCTTTCACTGCTGGCCGTACGAAGACGCTCAAGGTTGCTCAGCGAGCTATGGAGAGGGCTATGTTCGGGGTTTCTCTGAGTGATAAACTTAGAAATGAGGATATCCGCAGTAGAACAAGAGTGACCGACATAGCCCAACGGATTAGTAAACTGAAGTGGCAATGGGCCAGCCTATAGCTCGAAGAACTGCCAACCTATGGGAAAAAAGGTTCTCGAGTGGAAGCCTCGTACTGGTAGGCGTAGTGTAGAGCGACACCTCACTGGATGGAGTCACTACCTGTTAAGACATGTAGGAAGTCGATGGATGCAGGTGGCTTAAGACCGTGCTTTGTGGCGTTCCTTGGGGGAGGCCTATGTTCAGCATTGGACTTGTGAAGGACGGTAATGACATGCTTAGGTATCAGCATTTTGATTAATAATCGAAAAAAGACGTAGGTGCTAATAGAGCACATCACCCATTTACCATTAGGTGGATTTGTGCTCGTTAACTTCTATAACAAAGAAAAGAAAGGAATAAGAAAACAAAGAAAAGAAAGGGAAAGGAAGGGAAAATTTCTTATGTAAATGATCCTTACTGGCTTAATTATGTCAGTGCGTTCAAAAAAGCCATCCTTCCGACGATTCCAGAAAGCCAAGTGTCCTTTTCCGTGAGTGATGAGAAGATTGTCATCCAGCGGGTGGAAAGCTGCACCAGTTAGCTCTTCTTGAAGTGTCTGCAATCGAAAAATAACCATTCCCTAATATAACTTATCTATATTATATTCTAATCATTATTAGAGTAAAAAGGAAATGCGGATGGGACTAATAATTTATTACAAAAAATAAATTGAGAAATTCGGTAAGTATAATTTTTTGACACGATCCTGATACACCGTTTCGCATTTTTCACATTCATATATCTGTGAATATTTAGTAATCACAAAATAGGGGATGCCACTTCTGATGTCGGTAATACAACAAGATATCACAATTCTAATTCAAAAAAGCAATAATTGTTAAAATAGTAAAAGTGGGAGAGCGGATATCCACAATAATATATATATATATATATATATATATATATATATATATATATATATATATATATATATATATATCAATTTGATCTCTCGCATACGCAATTAATCATTAACATTAAAAGACAGCATAACGCAACAAATAACATGTCCTCGTAATAATTACACACTGGTGTAACGTGAAGGACATAATGACATGATAACATCAAAGTATGCAACTTTGATGTTATCATGTAATCACACCTCCCGTCTCAACGTAAGACAGGGCAGCTTCTGAGCACCACCATCCTACTTGCCTGCACCCTAATAACCACCACAACGGACAGAACTACGACACTATCTTAGCACTAGTATGACTTCACTACGCCTGTGCTGTGTGTAAACTTTGTATACGAGGGTGGATTGAAAAGTACTCGGCCTAAACAAGAAAATAAACACATACTAAATCAGTTATATATTTATTTTTCTACATAATCACCATCAAGTTCAGTACACTTTTGCCACCTCCCCTTCCAAGCATTTAGACCGTTGAAAAAAAATGATTCTTCCTTAGAGTCAAAATAAGCGTCTACAGCTGCTTTGACCTCGTCGTTTGTCGAAAATCTTTGACCTCCCAAGTGCTTTTTTAGGTTAGGGAACAGAAAGAAGTCTGATGGTGCCAGATCAGGTGAATACGGCGGATGCGGTAACAGTTCAAAGCCACAGTTGTAAATTTCAGCCATTGACTGTACTGACGTGTGAACACGGGCGTTATCTTGATGAAACAGGACTTTTCTTCTGAGCATTCCTCGACGTTTTTCTTTTATTTCCTCTCGTAAACGACGTAGTAAGGTGCAGTAGTAATCAGAGTTTATAGTCTGACCCCTTTCAAGATAATCAATCATAATCACACCTTTCGAGTCCCAGAATACTGAAGACATCACCTTATTTGCCGACAAAATCGACTTAGCCTTTTTAGGGCGTGGTGAACCAGGTCTTCTCCACTGTTTTGATTGTTGTTTTGTTTCCGGTGTACAGTAATGAACCCATGTTTCGTCCATAGTAACAAAACGATTCAAAAAATCATCTGCATCGGCTTCAAATAACTCCAAACAGTCGCGTGAAATAGTCAATCGCGTCCTTTTTTTGTTCAACTGAAAGCAGTCGCGGAACCCACCTCGCAGACACCTTGTGGAAACCCAACTCGTTGACAATGATGTTTTGAGTTCGTTCATAAGAGATGCCTATAATCTCGGCTATCTCTCTAATTTTTAATCTGCGGTCTCCCATTATTAAATCTAGTACTTTTTTAATATTTTCGTCAGTAGTTGGCGTCGAAGGCCTTCCAGAGCGGGGTTCATCTTTCACACTCTCTCTACCACGCTTAAATTCTGCTATCCATTTTTTGACGGATGAATATGACAGAGCACAATCGCCTAATGTACTGACCATGTCATCATGGATGGCTTTTGATGATAGCCCCTTCTTATGGAGGTACTTAATGACGGCACGCTCCTCGATTTGCTCCATTCGCGGAAATTATGTCCGATTACTTTGTTAATAAATTTATAAAATCACAACTAATTATCGCACACGTTTCGAACTTCACACAATGAACTAGTCTGAACTGAACTAAATAATGTGGGTTGATTTGATTTTTAGAATTGAATGGATCTGTGTTAGGCCGAGTACTTTTCAATCCACCTAGGTAAAATATTAATGTATAGCTGTATTAAGAGACTACTACTCAATATACTTATAATAAAAATATTGGTTACCCGACAGGCAAAATAATGTCATATGATTACATTGACGACATTTTACGAAAATGGCTTTACTTTTAATAAGCAGCATAGTACTCTTTCTATATGTAAAAAATAACATTATTTCAAATCAAATATTTTTCGTAGCAACTCTGTAGCAGCGTAGCAAATACGTCGAAATATGTTAAAGCAGAAAGTATCTAATTAAACATAATATATACATTTTTACGGGGCTGGCTAATTGATTTTATATATTTTAATGCCATGTTACCATGAAGTCAACACTTCACAACAAAGACGTTAATATTTTTAACCTATTGTAGCAGCGTAGCACATTCTTCATTATTTTTTCATCGTATTTGCTACGCGTAGCGTTGCTACGAGTATGAAGAATGTTTGTGTTATTCTTATAGCTTTAAGAATAACACAAACATTCTTCATACTCGTAGCAACGCTACGCCTAGCAAATACGATGAAAAAATAAATGTTGACGCAGAAATTGTCAAATCAATCGTACGATAATTTTGTACTGTGTTGGCTCAGTGATTTCAATTAACTCTTCCAATACTTTATGCGAATATAGATAACATTAAATTTCAGAGATTTTTATTGTATTTTATACGATAAAATCTCTCACATTTAATGTCTCTGCAGCTATTACAAGTCCTTTGCTCAGCATAGGCCTCACCATAGATTGCGTCAAAGTATAGCCCTGACCCACATGCATCCATCGACTGCTTTTATTGAGGGCCCAAATTTCTCGTATTTAATGTAATGAAATTCTTTTCTGTACATGAAATTAAATAAGTTTTATTTAATACCGGCAACTTCGTCCGCGTGGAACTTAAACAAAAACTTACAGATATTGTCATAGGGCAAGTAGTTTAATTATCAGAAAACTAATTTTAAGTCAGTTCTTTGCTATTATTTCGAGAACTATGTGCAATACTGGAAAAAGCTTAAAATAAAATTAGCTCCATTAATTTCACCGAAAAAAAAAACAACAGGTTTTATCACATTACAATTTTCTTTTAAAATGGCGCTTTTGCATTTTTTATTATAACCAAGAGATATAAAAAAAATTCGTTCAAAACTTTTGATTCATTTTTGTTTTATATAATCATTTATCTTATCAGTTTTTCGATTTTACAAAATAAAATCCTGCATATTTTTATGATAAAATATAGCCCAAAACCAGGGGCCTAATTACTCTCTATCTCTTTGTGAAGATTCATCACAATCGGTTCAGACAGGCAAATTTTTTTCTTACATCACGTAAAAAACTCTTTGAGCTTTATATAAGCCGCTTATATCGATTAAAACGAACATTTAGAGAGGTTTTTCGGCACTATTCCTAACATCTTAATTGTTACTAGGAAGTCCGCAGAAAGCAATACGCCATTTAAGTAGGCAGTATTATTCAGACATTGCATTACAATAGAATAGAATAGAATAATTTTTATTCAATATAAATTACATGCAATTCTTATTGAAAGACATTTTTTACTTTAATAAATTTTACAATGTGAATGATTACAAAATATTTACAAAATTTATTTTAGAAACATCTTGAAAGCGACAATTTCATTCCCAGGGGTTATCATACACCATATCAATTAAAAAAAACAATAAAAAATATTATCAACCAATAAAAATATGGTGTATGTGTAGGTGTATAAACGCACCTGCTACTACATCAATTGATAAACCAGAACTCTTAGTAAAAACACCGTTTTTTAACATAATCTTTAAATTAAAAAAATCCAATTTCAGTAGAGAAGATGGTTGAGAACTGATGAGAACAATCTGTTTTAGTATCCTGTAACTATAAAATTAACCAGACGACTGTAAGTCTTTAAAATATAGTAAGTTAATTCCGCATTAAGTCGCACTAAAATTTATAATAAAAGGATAAAGGTTGTCGTAGATACCTACGATATTAGAACAGACTCAACAAATCAATCATTTTGTACATGATTAGAAAACAACCGAAACGTCTGTAATTCAAATAAGTTAAAATTAAACAGGAAAAAAATTAGTAAGAATTGATTTAACTCAAGGTATTTGCTTAGGAAATAAGCAGAGGTTTTTTGAAACAGTGCTAAAGATAAAAATATATTTTCAATAAGATATCACTAACATTAGCATCGGTATAGACGTTAAATATAAATTTAAAAAATATAAGTATATATTGTGCAGTTTCAGCTGAGTTACAGTGGACTTATAACTATAAATTATTCTTATAACGAATCGATTTAAGCAAAAAAAACGACCTTCGGTCAACGTCCCCATACCTCATGTTCATGGTTAAAATCAGTTAAATCACGGCAAATATCGCGAGGTGTGACGTAATTTATCGTGCCAAAACGATCGTAGACAATCTTAATAATATACAGAGACCTTGAGACCGCATAAATCCGCTACGAGCTATGACACTCACGTCAATAGAACTCTATTTATTTCATCATCATCATCATTACAGCCCTTTACAAGTCGACTGCTGAACATAGGCCTCCCCCAAGGTATGCCACAAAGCACGGTCCTGAGCCACCTGCATCCATCGACTTCCTGCATGTCTTACCAGGTCGTCACTCAATCTAGTGGAGGTTCGCCCTACACTTCGTCTACCGGTACGAGGCTGCCACTCGAGAACCTTTTTTCCCCAACGGTTGTCGGTTCTTCGAGCTATATGGCCGGCCCATTGCCACTTCAGCTTACTAATCCGTTGGGCTATGTCGGTCACTCTGGTTCTACTGCGGATATCCTCATTTTTAAGTTTATCACGCAAAGAAACTCCGAGCATAGCGCTCTCTATAGCTCGCTGAGCGACTTTGAGCGTCATCATACGGCCAGCAGTGAAGGACCCGTCTCAGTTCCATTATTTTAGTTCAGTTTTTATTTATTTATTGTTTCACAATTCTGTTGAATACTTCAATTATTTATAAATTTAAATTACGTGGTCAGTGCAATAAATGAACTGCTGGTACTTGAAATATGAATCCCAGAGCTTACCAACACCCTTCCAATGACACCTAATGTGGTTTTCATTATTCATTCAGTCCTTCTGTCTTTTAATTTTTATAACTTTCATTTTTCTAAGTTTGTCAACAAAGTGCCAGTAATTTGAAATTACTGTCATCTTAAATTACTGGCACTTTATTGGCAAAAATACTTAATATTATTAATTAAATACGTTTTTTAGGTAAATTTATAGTTAAGTTGTTAAGTTTTTTTAAATAGATACCATAACAATCTAGCAGTTACGCTAAAATTCCTGGACTTATAAAGCTCTTTGTACATAATGATACCTTGTATTTTTCTTATTTATACATAATATGCAGCTATACAAAGAACCTCGGTGGCTAAATGCGCCGTAAATTTTACAGTACGCGAGCAACCCGGGTTCGATCCCCGCCGGTACCAGTGAAATTGTTAATTGCAATTTTAAGTGCTGATTCACCATGTGCTTGACGGTAAAGGAAAACATCGTGAGGAAACATACATGTCTGAAAAATAAGAAAAACAAATATTTCGAAGAAATATGGAGTTCGCCAAGTAATTTGTGTTAGTAGTAATTAAGAATACGGACTGGAAAACTCATAGGCAGTGTGTTCAACTTCACTGAGTTTGACTGCTTTGATTACTGACGTGAACCTCTTCATTACAAACATTATTCAATTTTAAGGTTAGTTGGGACAGTTAATGTAAACATTAGTTGTGTCAACAACACTGTAAGTATTCCTTTCCTTACAAGAAATAATAGTAATGTCCTCCAGACTGAATTTCGGTCACGGCGGCCAGCCTCAATGGACACTAGCCCTCGGTGCAGCACAAGAGTTTTTGTATTTTTTTATAGAATAAGGGTGACAAACGAGCACACAGTCCACCTGATGGTAAGTGGATGCTGTGCCCCATAGGTATGTACATTTATCCTCGATTAAGAATCAAAACGCAGATGAGTTTTCGCCCCCAAGGACTAAGATGGCATGCCTCGTTTCCTATAAAAAAGGGTCTCCGGATATCTACACTCACCATACGAAACACTGCAGTATTAAGCTGCTATTTTACGCTGGTATTCTGTGAGATCGTGGTCCTTCCCCGGTTGAGCCGACCTTTTCATGCTACAATCTTAATATAGCTGCAGCGTGGCTCTATCACGTATAAAAAGTTTACATATAAAAAGGATTATAGTGCCCTAGTGTATGCGCAAGCACAGGTGCACTCACTATTCCCTCACTCTTATAGTCCGATGCGACGCTAAACCGATACGGCTGGAGGCCGACCAACGGCTTTAAATGCTTTCCGATACACGGGAGTGAAACACGGCCCATTTTCGGGCTCCGGGCAACTATCGAGAATTTCTTGACTGCAATACAACTAAATTTTTTGGCCCGACCCGGTATTCGAACTCGGGGCCTCATGATCAGCAGTCGTACTACTACAACCACTAAACCAACAATGCAGTCACAAAAAATGTCTATCTAATACTCACAGCGACTTTTCCAAGTAGATGTCCCCATTGCCATTGCCATACAGAGAGAATGCTCTCGCGGCCGGAGTCTACAGCCAGCACGTAACTGCCACCGTTCTGTAACAAGGCAACAATTTGTTGAGGTCCACATAATTAACAAGTAATGTTAAAGAAGTAAACTGACCAGCAAGCTCACAGTTCACCTGATGGGAAGGAAAATCTGAATCTCAAAGACACCTACATCTATTCTTGATTAAGAATCAAAATGAACATACGTACGTACCTCAGGATTAATATGGAATACCTCATTACCATTAAGAAGGGTTTTCGGTTTTTGTTTTATACAGTTATATTTCACACTGGTATTTTGTATGAAAGTGGTCCTTCTCCGGTCGAGCCAACCTTTTCGTGCTCTTGGTAATAATGTGTCTATGGACATATTACGAACAAAAAGTCAAACGTTGATTTCTTTTGTTGGTTTCGCAAGGTGCCCATATCAATTTATCCAAATTCGATGTTGAATACATATTATACTCAGTTTTTATTTTTAGAAAATACTGAGGGTTTCTAATCGCAGCTTAAACCTTCAGTTTGTCATTAAAATTGAAACTAAGGTTTAAGGTTTGCAATTAAGGTTGAAACCACTTTTTTGTTTATACCAAAACTGTTGTCCTTTTGTTTTTTCAACATTTTTTGGTAATAATTAAATATCAGTTAATCAAATTAGATTAAAAAAGATAACACACATTGATTATGAGCCGTGATGATTCTAGTGAGTACACCGTATTGTAATTACATGACATTGATGGATCATAGTCATATAGTTATTGTATTGTGTATACACACATAACACACATACACACACACACACACACACACACACACACACACACACACACACGCATTTATACCTACTACGCCAGATGTTCGGTGAGCTTCACTCACCAGCTGCGAAAAGGCGACAGCGGAGACGCCGGCCTCGAACTCGGCCATGCCGAACACGTGCAGAGTCTGCAGCGTGTCGGCGCTCCAGATGCGCACATGCGCCTGCGCGCGCCGCCCGCGCCCCGCCCGCTGCCCACTCGCCACCAACTCGCGCGACGGGTGCAGCTCCATGCTGTCACGAGTTGCGTTAATTACACCAGTAAACAAACACTCTTGAAATCACTCCACTACATAAGTAAAAGCGTTAGAAAGATTGCCAAGTATTGGTTGTCTATGGCTATCGTGGAAAGTACTAGAAAAATCTCATGGCTTTATATATATACATGGTAATATAACCATTTCGTTTACACCAGATATAAAATAACTGGACCAGTAACTGATATACTGCGCCCTCCTTTCTGCCAAGGAGGGTCGCGTTCGTATACGGCTTAGAGATCTCTAGTCAGATCGTTAAGCCAATTCCTAAAAGGCGGTGTTTAGTGGGTAAAAGTCACCACATAACCACGCAGCCGGCTGCGTGGTATGCTATGAGCATTCACCGCCTCCCTCCCCCGCTTTCCGGAGGGTTGCCCATATTTGCTTCGGGCGCAAAAAAAAACTGATATAAGCGTCAAATTGTGAGACGTCTGGTATTGTGATAGTCAATCCACTTGCCTAGCTTGATAATAAGATTAATTTTCCCTACAACAACAAAAACCCATATTCAGCAGTGGGCTTCAAAGGGTATATGGTCCTTCCTAGGACAAGCCGATTCATTCGTGCTTGACCCATCTAGTTTTGTTTAGTGTAAAATTAAACACATTTGCTTGCAATTTCACTTATTATCAACGTATTATCGTATCAATTTTTATCATTTAAAATGTTAATGCCTCAATAACGCATTAATTTTTTTTTAAAAATGGGGGAAAAAAGGAGACACCCCCCCACGGTAGGGGGCTAAAAAAAAAAAGGTGCCCAGCGGAGAAGGACCAACCAGCAAGAGAAAATTTGCATAAACTTTCAGTCTATATATCACGATATAATTACCGATGTTAGACGAAACCCTCCATAACGGATATGGTCCTTCGAACCAGATTTGACGTAACTACCTAGGGTTATAACCACAATTAAGTAAATTATAGACTGCCTAAAATGAAATTGTTTAAGTTTTTGCATTTCTTATGCAACGCCCTTAAAGTTAGAGCACAATGCAATACGAAATGGCAGTTCGACAGTTCTTATCTTTAACTTGCGCGTATATTCCTAGTTATTACTCACCATTGAATATCTTCGGTGTGGCCGGTGTAATGTCTCTGTGACTCTTCGTCTCGATCATACATAATAGCAACAGCCGCTACGTAGTAAAGTAGTTCTCCCGTAGGAAGCACCCATAAGTTGCGTCGAGTGTCAGCTCCTCTATAACCGTAACTAAGGAGAAAATCAAATAATTCACTCTTCGGAATAAATTAATTAAAATGCATTTTATTTATTCCAATTTTGAGATATAACTTAACATTTAGGTTGTTTATGGTTTAAGTCTTATTTTAGGTTTTTTGGACCAACAACCAAGTTAAAACACGAAAGTACTTAATACAATTTTTAATATAATTTTTTTATATTTTACTTATACACTAAGATTTTCTCCTTTACCGCGGAGACGTATTACATATTATAATAATTGCACCAGGACATACATAAAACCGGAACAATAATTCAAATATAAAAACACTTGCTCGGTGCGTGATTCGAACACGCAGCTCGCAGCGTGACATTTAGCCACTTCGCTACCGAACCGTCAGTAAGCATACAGTTAATTTTAATATACATACATTACGATTACGCTGGAAACTTATGAAATAGTCTAGTTTTGTTTTTGTGATTACTAATGAAAGCTTTGAGTATATGAGCGTTCATTTTTGCCAAAAAATACTAAGGAAAAATTTAGGTATCAGATGGGCTGATTTCCTTTTTCACTCTTAGTCTATACAAATACAACAAAGACAACCTTACTTTGTTGTTTTATTTTACATCCTTTACTGTTCACGGGTTGGTTGGTAGGTTAAGAGATGATCTTGTACACTATATTATCTAAAATGACATTTATCAAACTTAGTTCCGGTAACCTAAATAAAATACTTACACCCAATCGAGCTGCAATTTCTTCTCCGGCGGTGAATTGTCGATGGGAGCATGGTGAATTGGTGGGTAGAAGGTACGCCTGAGACCACGGATCGTTAGGCGAATGGGTTCTTCTTTCAACACTTCCAAAAGTGTATAATCTGCATCCAAACCGATAATGGAGATATTATAATATTAATAATAATGCAACCGTAAGTTAAGCGGTTATTAATATACTACATCAAGCTACTTTTTGTAAAATTTTACCACTTTTAAACCACGATGTCCTGACGAATGTCAACCTTTCGCTCAGAACATATTATCTAACACTGCAGGGGCATAGATCATGTTTATCTTTATTACATGCAATTACAAATTGCTATTCTTTATTTTGTGTTTTCTTTGATCTCTTTGCTTTACTTTTCCATAAAGTTACCTGTTTATACACTATAGTACACTTATGTAAACTATACATAAATATAAATAAAATTAAAGTGTATGTTTCTAATGTCAAAAAATGAAAGTATATAAGGGACTTATGTTCCGGTTAATTTCCGAAATAACCGGAAATTTGGCTTCCGTGCATAAAATTTATAACCCATGTAATCCAATCGTAATACCTAAATACCACGCGGACGAAGTCGCGGGAACACCTGTATATATATATATATATATATATATATATACTAAATACCACGCGGAAAAAGTCGCGGGAACACCTGTATATATATATAGGTGTTCCCGCGACTTCGTCCGCGTGGAATTTAGGTATTACGATTGGATTACATGGGTTATAAATTTTATGCACGGAAGCCAAATTTTGGTTAATAACATCAACTGTTTTCCAAGCGAAATTTCCGTCAAAATAGGTCCGGTTATTTCGGAAATTAACCGAACATAAGTCCCTTATATACTTTCATTTTTTTTTGTCCATGTGTGTGTGTCACAGTTTAAACCTATTTTTAGATAGAACGTGTTTTCCCTAGTTAAAACTAGTTTTTACTAAATGCCTTTGGGAAGACTAAAAATACCTAGTCTAAACCAGAATTTACCACTGATATATTTGATTTTCAGTTAAAACCAGTTGTCACTCCGAGCTTTAGTTAAAAAAACCAGCTCTAGAGAAACTAATTTGGGATTAAAAACAATATATACTTACTAAATATTGTTTTAAAGTTTTTTACACAGGAAAATTGACACAATTATTTCTGCAACGGCTTCGGCGCTTCGGGAAGTGCAGCTCTTTCGCCCTTGCGTACCAAATCACAGGCACCCATGCTCACCTGCGGTTTATTGCTTCGGTTTATTGATAGCCTTCGGCGATCAGCCTCCTACGCCGCTACGGCTCGCACAGATTCCTGTGATTTGCTACAGCGAGCGGGGACTGCTCTCGCTTCGCGCCTACGGCTTTACAAAAACACTCTAGGGGTAGGGCAAACAAGACTTCGTGATGTCGCGGCGTTCAGGTTTGGTTTTAGTACAGATATGACCTATATTATTTATAATAATCGCTCATTTTTAGGTCCGGTAAACAAGCCAAAGTCCAAAGTAAAGCAATCAAATCAAATCCAGAACCGAAGCCTCGGTCGTTTAACCTCGGTCGGAACAGTTCTAACTTACTCGCTTTGGAAAAACGCATTTTTTCTAGTTTTTTCTAGTGAACTAGTTTTACTTATTACAAAGGCATTAAGTAAAAACAAGTTTTAACTATTCTAACTAACTAACTATGCATTCTTATCTAAAAACGGGTCTTAATTGTAACATATATACAGGTACATGTACAGTTGCCTAGATGTGTCCGCAATTTGGCTTTAAGTCGTATCCTATTATATATTACGTTATTATATTCGTTGACGCCTCCTCTGTGTTGTATACTATGTAGTCATGAATTGACGGACCGAATCACGCGAATTTTTAAGATTTTATTTGCGTATATAATAACTTTCCTACTTTATCTTAAATGATTAATTTTGTAAACTTAACCAGAATTTCTTATTATTTCGCCTTCTGGAGCATACAACGCCCTCGGTCTGCTTTTGCTTCGTGCTCGCCGTCCACGCGTATCCTCTGATGCAGGAATTGATGCCACCGTAGCTCTTGACCGTGACCTGATAAGTGAGAATGTTAAAAGTTATCGTTACAGCATATATACATCCCACTGCTAGATACAGGACTCCGCTCAATTCTGAAAGGGTTTAGGGCAAGGAAATGTCCGCCGCACTGCATCAATGCGATCACATCGCGATCTTCGAAATATTTTTATTAAAATTACAAATAATTTAACTTAGTACTCGACTCAATTCGTATTCATACTCGACGCCACATAATCAGTGATTCATTAATTGCAACAGTGTACATAAAACTAAGCATCAGAAAATTACAGGGTATCAAATTTATATATATTAAGATATTTTTAAACAAAGCTTATTAAGAAAGTTATATTACAATATTTTCTTATAGAAAGAATGGTAACAAATAATCTTATTGTCTCTGATGGTAAGTGGTCACAGCAATTCATGCACACCTGCAACTAACTCCAAAAAAAGAAGGCACAGTACGGATGCGTTTTCACCTCTAATGACTACGATGGAATGCCACATAGCCTGAAACTAGCTCTCTATACCCCTTAGTCCAGATTAAAGCATTGCAAGCACTGCTTTTTGGCGGCAGAAATAGGTAAGAGTGTGGTTCCTACCTTGACAGACCTAATAAAAGATATCTAGTTCCCATCATTCACCAGACGAAACATAGCAACTTTATTTTGCACTGGTAGACTGTGAGAGTGCGGTCCTGCCCCGGTATTAAATTTTATTATTTTTTTAAATTTTTTCCCACTTTCACTTTTTATGCTAATCTAATCAGCATTGTTGTTTGCACATGGCTCAAGGGCGAATTTAATTTTTTGTACGGAGCTTTAATTAAATTTATAAATTATTGTTTATCTAATGATGTTTGTCTAAAAATGCCTCTGACATTTTTTCCGATTTCTGCTTAGTTCATCATCATCATCATTACAGCCTTTCACAAGTCCACTGCTGAACATAGGCCTCCCCCAAGTAATGCCACAAAGCACGGTCCTGAGCCACCTGCATCCACTGAATTCCTGCATGTCTTACCAGGTCGTCACTCCATCTAGTGGGGGGTCGCCCTACACTACGCCTACCGGTACGAGGCTGCCACTCGAGAACCTTTCTTCCCCATCGGTTATCGGTTCTTCGAGCTATATGGCCGGCCCATTGCCACTTCAGCTTACTAATCCGTTGGGCTATGTCGGTCACTCTGGTTTTACTGCGGATATCCTCATTTCTGAGTCTATCACGCAGAGAAACTCCGAGCATAGCCCTCTCCATAGCTCGCTGCTTAGTTACTTAATAAATATCGGTGTACTTAATACTTACGGTACTATAACATAAGTTAAGAAGATAATTATTTCTGGATACTATCAAACTTATGTACAAAGTAAAATTGTACCACGAATGGGTCGGCTCGACTGGGACTGGGAGAACCACGCTCTCACAGAAAATATTTGTTGTTATTCGTATGGTGAGTGTAGGCTGACAAAGCATCTGGGTTTTGATTCTTAATCGAGGATAGACGTAGATGTCTATGGGCAGTATAAAAAATATTATGAAATTACCTTCTTATTGGTGATTCTATTGGGAGAGGAGCACTAACACCAGGACTGTGAGCCGGCGGTACCATTATTGTGCCGAGATAGAACGTCTCTACATCTGCAAATTCGTTGCGAAGTTGCGAGAAACTTCTCACCTGTATAACAAATGTAAAGTTATTACAACCAAAAAGTTATAGTAGCCTTTATACATGTCACTGCTAGGCCTTTAAGACAGATTTTAAAAGAGTTATGGAGTAGTTAGTCGGCGCTGTTCTATTGCGTGTTAAAGGACTTTACACGTGACTTTGCAAATGTTTTATATCTTAGAAATGCTAGTTTCATCACTATGTTTGACTGTTCGAAGAATACGAGTATGTCATGATTATTTTTAAATTTATGTTACAAATTTATGTTGAAAAAATAATTGCGGAAATATCGTTTTAAATTTGGAAGGATTATATTGTTATCAGAAATGATAACACATTCATTGAACTTGAATGATATATAACTTTCAAACAAATTTGTCGGTACGATACGCGGGCCACCTACTAGTAAGTTAACTTTACTATGCCCATAAACTTCGCGGAAGTGCATGCAATATGTTGACAAAGTTTTTGCTCAATCTGATGAATGGTATGACAACGCACAAAATATGAACAAACAAACACTAATTTTTAATTATTAGATTATAAAAATTAGGATTGTCAATATTTAAGTTTAAATAGAACTTATCACAAAGTATGGTTTATTTTATAATGATTTCTTATATTTACGCGAACACTACACATTTAAATAACACTAGTTTTTATTGATTTTATCGCATATATCAACTTTTTTCTTATACCGACGTTTCGAGCACTTTACAGCATCCATGGTAACGGGGGAACTGAGATGTTCAATGTCCAGTTGTCATAGTTAACCGCGGTTACCATAGATTGAAATTATTAATTTTTGTTTCAATCCAAGCAGTATAAACTTATAGTATCTTGAAGTCTTGCAGTGTTATGCTTAGGTTGGGATTTAATTTTATTCAATTATAAGATCCCAAGCAGATAGTAGCACACAGCAAACTTCTCTATTGAAATTAGGATGTTTTTTGATTTCAACAGCATAGCGAATCATCCTTGGAAGGAATCGGTGTCCTTTAGCGGGGATTTGTGGTCTATTAAATAATAAAAAAGTACCGGGAGCGATCCTATACGTGTTCACTAACTGCAAACTTCCCGGAGCGTCGATTCTTCGCATCAGCTATATGTTCTTTAACGTAGGTGTTATTTGATCTTTTAGTTTTTCCTATGTAGGATAAATCACATTCACAATCAAGCTTGTACACTCCTGCATGTCGTCTTGAAAAGCTCTTTTGAGGAGAAAGCCCTGCTTACTTCTCCCGTAAATCAAAGATTCTACAAGCGGTACGTAGACGACATTTTCACAATTCCACCTTTAGATAAAGTAATTGCATTTTTGGACCATCTTAACTCTATTAATTCTAAAATTCAGTTCACGATGGAGTTAGACGCAAACAATGCTTTAGCTCTTCTAGATGGGTTAGTAATTCGGAATTCTGATAACACCTTGTGCCACAATGTGTATAGAAAAAAGACCCATAAAGACAGATATTTAAATGGTGATTCTCACCACCATCCTTCACAGTTAGCTACCGTGGGTAAATCTTTGTTTCAGAGAGCACAAGTGATTTGTGATAGTAAACACCGGCTGCCGAGCTCCAACTCGTCAAGCAAGTATTGTTTGAGAACAAGCTACAGGGCCCGCGTCTACTCACAGTGAACGAGTAAAGCTGGCCACATTCGAGCGTGTACCTACTGTACTGCCATATGTCAGAGAAGTCACTGACAAGATTGGCTACATCTTGAAGCGCAATTCTTCCATTAAAACATACTTCAAGCCGCCGAAGTAGATTGATCTTTTTTTACCATCAGTCAAGTGCAATGTCCCCCTGCAAAGCGTACAATCGTTAATGCGGTCTCTTATATAAGACAAACTAAGAGATCAAATAAAACCCTCGTTAAAGAACATATAGCTGATGTGAAGAATTGACACTCCGGGAAGTCTGCAGTCAGTGAACACATACAGGATCGCTCCCGTCACTACATCAGATTTGATAGACCACAAATCCTCGCTAAAAAACACCGATTCCTTCCAAGGATAATTCGCGAGGCTATTGAAATCATAAAACATCCTAATTTCAAAAGAGAGAATTTCTGGGTGCTACCATCTGCTTGGGATCCTATAATTAATAAAATTAAATCCCAACCCATGCATTTAACTGCAAGACTCCAATATACTATAAGTCTATCCTGTGTAGATCGGAACAAATATTAATAATTTTAATCTATTAATCGGCTAACTATGACATCAGGACGTTGAACATCTCAGTCCCCCGTGATCATGAGTGCTGTAAAGTGCTTGAAGCATCGAGTATACAAAAAAAGTTAATATACACAAAATTTAAAGTTAATATAATAAAATCAGTAAAAACTAGTATGGTTTATTTTATTTCTACTATAAATATTGTCAATACCTCTTGTCCTGTGATTGTGTACATCCTTTTAGCTCCGCTCATTTTCAAAACTTGTCCCAAATCTTCCAAAACTTCTTCAAATGGTTGCGTAGTTCGGAGATTTAACAAAACGCGACACTGCATAATTTTAACAATTTAATGTAATCAAATATAATTTTAGTTTTATTTTATTTAAAAATTTAATTTTAGATTTTTAGTTTTAGATTTTCTATATTATAGTTTCTTCTTTTATTGTATTGTATTGTATAGTTTTAATCATTAATATTATAATTTTAATTATCATTTTAGTTAAGTTCTTTATTATAATTTTTGTAATATAAATAAGTCCAATATATAATATTTTAAATGATAAAAAATCAAATATAATTTAAATTTATCAAATAATAAAAACTGAAATGTTCGTATCGTTTTTTAGACATTCCATAAAATTTAAATTTTTGGTTAAAATAAATACAATTTTATAAATTGATTTTTATTTATGAACATTTTGAATAAATTTTGTTATATATTAAAATTTTGCCATATTTTTTTATATAGAGTAATGGTGACAAACGAGCACACAGTCCACCTGATTGGTAAGTGGATGTTGTGGCATATAGACATCTATATTAATCCTCGATTAAGAATCAAAACGCGGATGCGTTGTCACCCCCTGAGGACTAAGATGGAATGCGTGTCTCCGGATCTCTACATTCCCCTTACGAAACACAGCAGTATTAAGCTGCTATTTTAACCTGGTGTTCTGTGAGAGCGTGGTCCTTCCCCGGTCGAGCCGACCCATTCGTGCTACAACCATAATATAGCTGCAGCGTGGCACTACCACGTACAAATTAAATAATTCAATTGATAAAACCTGTGTCATCATAATGATCATGATCATCATTATCAGCCCGTTAAAGTCTACGGCTACTGGACGTGGGCTCTTCCTATTACAGTGAGTTTACCTTAATTGCCACGTTTAGCAAGCGGCTTAATTACACAGTAGGAGAACTCTTGCATATTTGCCGCTGCTGCTTTGTCACGAGTCTAATTATCTTCCGTCTGTTCTGTCTAGCATTATTGAGATGATTACACTGTCGTCTATTGTAAGCCATGAGATTTTTTTGGTGTTTTTCATCGTCTCCACATAAGACTCGCGATATGGAGTCTCTCTTATTCCTCCTATACTATACATTACACGATCTACTATGCCGTTATTATGTTGTAGACTACTTGCTTCCTAGTCTAAACTCTTAGCTTTTGTATTTTCTTTCTTTAGACTGCTTGATGTTTTAACCGTTAGTATTGCGGACCTATTTAAATTCAACCTAAACATCCCACAAAAACAGATTTTTTTTCTTTTGTTATATAGTTAATTACTTAAAAACAGGTAAATAATTGAAACTCAACGACAAATCTTATTTAAGTGAAATACCATAAAAACCCATTGTTACGAGAACTCGTATAATTGACACTTACCATGAAATGATTTATGCAAACACATTGCGGGAAAATTAATTGTGGCGATCACGAAAAAGGAATTATAGAGTAGGTACATGTGATATATGTACGTAGATTAATTTGTGTATTGAAACTCTCGGACAAAGTCAGTGATTACGTCTCAAGGTTTTATAACGAAAACGGTTCATTTAGACTACGCCACGTAGGTACTATTTCGCGTTAGCGACGATTAGTGAAGTTTGATAATGAAATATACGCTCCTAATCTCTTTGTGATTGTTTCCTGTTTGGTATTCATGTTATTACAATTAAATTTAATTGCCGTCGTAGTTGTAATTTAGGTAGCTCAATAAGAAAGTAAAAAAGACATGAGTCTTGATATGGTTATGATTTACTAATAAACTACGAATATTTTGCCCTTAAAAACTACTTTTTCGCTTATGTATCTAAACTGATATAATTTAAAATTTGGTTAACAAAATTCTTATATATTTATACTACGATATATGTTATAAAATATAATTACACATGTACGTTTTATACACATACAATAAATATAAATATATTCACTTACTCTATATATATACATACAGCACATACATGGTACACACATACATATAATTAAATATAGCTGTTTCGGGTTTAAACACTTATAAAATATCTGAAATAAAAACAGGAAAAGGGAACAGTTGGAATTTAGGAACCCTCCATTATACATATCCTCTATTATAAAAAAATGGAGATCCATAAACTACTCCTGCAATTCCAGAAAATGATTCCAGAGCAAGCGTTTAAATGATGCCTTGCTCGTGGCTGCACGTACACCGCCCGGTAACTCTTTCTGTAACCTTCCCGCATGAGAAGTAAAATATTTGTACAAGAAGCTAGAGTGACAGAGGGGTATATGGAAATTAGACCTTTCCGCAGAACGGAGACAACGATTATGAGAATCACCCTGACACTGAAATTTGCATTTTAGATATTCAGGGACAAACGGATCGTGTAAAACTAAAAATATTATATATAATTCTTGTCTATGCTTATCTTATATTTTCATATTATCATCATTACAACCTATTAAACACAGGCTTCCGCGTGGTTTGCTTCATAGGGTGATATTTGCCATATTTGCCATAGTTGACACGCTTGACAGACTGATCTACAGCCACAGTTTTTATTGTCATTCATTTCCTGATTCAGTGTTCCCTCTGCCGCTTCTAAAGACATCCACGGGATAATATAAGGGGTGGATTCTCTTACTTCACCACTACACGGTGAGTGCTTTAGTGGTTAGAACACTACGTTGTGATTTTATCACATATTTATATGTCTTTATGCTTAAAAATCAGACGGGTGAGAATTGACGGGATATCATTTCGTTTCAGCTCTTTACTGTGATGTATGAGCTAAACGAGGCCGGATCGTTAGTATTATCTCTTTTATTGCCCAAGGACTGTTTTGTGTTTGATAGGGTTAAAGAGTTTTCTTTTTGGGAGAGTACATAATATGTAAGAATCTAGGTCCACAAGAATGTAGGTGTTCACTACAGCGGGCAAAACGGACAGATAAGGCACAAGACCGAGTTAAATGGAAAGCTCCGTAGGAGGCTTTTACCCGAAGAGGTGTATACTCGTATTATAGGGGTATACTCAGGTATTAGGCTAGGTATTAGGAATTTTTTAAGTTCATATATTTTAATTGAAATATTGTTTTACTTAAAATGTCGAAAGACAACGAATGAAAAAACAATACATTTTTGAATATTTTTTTAAAATAAGTATTGTAAATGAAATAAATTTATACAACAATATTATGTTCACGAAAATATTATATATAACCTATTATATATAATAAGTAGTTTGATAAATGAGTTTAATCCAAATTTTTATTTGAATGTTATAATTATTAATAAATTAAAAAAGAGAAAATATTTTTCATCTTTTCTTTTCCCTCCAAGAAAAGTGCCTAGTTCTTTCTAAAAGTTCGGTAACGCACCTATAATTTTCTTGGTGTTGCAGCTGTTCATGGGTGACGGTAATTACTTACCATCAGGTGAGCCACATGTTCGTTTGTCTCCTTTTGTATGAAAATATACAAAAACTATAAAAGTGATGAGCGGTTTACCTGTATGGAGTGGTCCATATTGTTGATGATGCGAATGACGCGCCCGCTAGTCGTCTTACCGCCGCCCGGGGGAGGCGCGTCGGACTCCACTACGGACTGCTTGCGGACTGCCCGCGACCACCCGCTGGTTCCCGTCGCGGTGCCGCCGTACCACATGCCGTTCTTTTTACCGTAACTAGCAGCCTGTTTCAGAAATTAGGTAATTGTTATAATAAGTTGCAGCTACTAGTAGCAAGAGTACTTCTAGAGTGGAGACAATTGGACCGTGGGTTTCGCTTGCGGTGAAGTTATTAAAGGAACTGTATCCGAAATTTGTCGTCGCCGCTGGTTATAAGAGATGTGGTTCATTTCTTGTTAAAAGGCAAAGAAACGCAGCCAGCGAACCAACATCACCGGAGAGAGATAAGGTGTGGGGCCAACGGCTTTACGTGCTAACCGGGTTTGCTTGCCTCGGTACGGGGGGTAAAACACCGCCAATTTTCCGACTCCGAGCTGCTGCTGGGAATTTCTTGAAACCCAGAAACTAATGTTTGAACCAACCCGTGATTCTAACCCAGGACGACATGGTCAGCAGTCGCGTTGACGATAACTAGACCAAAGAGGCAGTCATCGAGATACACTAAGCGTTGCGGCAAGAAGAGTTGCTTATAATTTACGCAAGACTCTACTCAAATTTATTATTAGCAAATTATTTTATTATTATTACTCGGAATATCAGTAACCTGCCTTTTATTACGTCTACTACTCAATAGTTTACATATTCTCCCCCCAATCCCCTGGTGATGAAAAATTCATCTAAAATGTATCCAAATCCCACAGACCTTTTTTAAATACTGATATGTAGTAGCATCAAATGCTTTAGAAACCGCTATGTAGCAGTCTAACTGTGGACTCAACAGTGCCGGTAACGAATTAACCAATATCAGTGACTCCTGTTAACATTTTTTGTTTGTATATAATATTTTCGAAAGCGAATGGAAATATTACAATTAAAAATTATTTTAAAATATTAGGACACTTAAAGGCAGTTTATTTAATTTGTACTGCAAATATTTTAGTAAATTATAATAAATTTTAAAAAAAATTATCTGTAGGCTGTGGATCAAGAAACTGCAGAAACTCGTAATGATATAAAGATAGATACTCGTAATGATAAAGTGACTTCCTTCCCACATGAAATAACAATATGGATTTTTTGGTCAAGAGAGTATTTTTAATATATTACTTAGTAGGTAATGATTAATATTAAAGAAATAAAATTTATAATTCCATACAAATTTTTATGTTGTTTATGAATTGGACGAATCGGACGGCTACTATACGGCACGTCCCTGACCGATTTCGCTACGGTGATGAGTGTGCAAACACATAACAGAAACGAAGTTTTGCAAAGAAGCCGGCATACTTCAAACTGCTTTTAATTTGTCAATGTCACCACTGTTTCTGAAGTCGGCTTGAAGAACATTATTTTTGCATAGCCTATAGGTGGATCACAAATGATAACAAAGAAAGTAAATACTTTTTATTTATGTAAGTGTTACCGCTAAAAGTCAGCGAAAAACCTAAACTTTTTTTATAGGATAACGGTGACAAACGAGCACACAGTCCACCTGATTGTAAGTGGTTGCTGTGGCCCATAGACACCTATATATATCCTCGAATACGAATCAAAATGCAGATGCGTTATCACCCGTGAGGACTAAGATGGAACGCCTTATTTCCAGTAAATAGGGTCTCTGGTTCTCAACACCCACTATACGAAACACTGCAGCGTTAAGCTGCTATTTCTACTACTACTTCCCAACGATGAAGATGCCCGCGCCCAGGCACAGGCTTCATCTTATTTTTCTCGTTGGATGGAGAGGATTGAGTGAAATAATTTGTAAGAACCTGTTTTTCCATTCCATAAATTGAAAGGATAATATACTAGCTATACTAGTACACTACACTATATACTATTACTCTCTTCGACTTCATTACCAGTAATGACCAGGTGGAATAGTAGTCAAACAGTGGCTTAGAATAGGTTGTTTAAAATGATAATCTTAAGAAAGAAAATACCGCTGTAGAGTCACTTCTGATGTTATTATCTGTATATCTATAAAATTTTAATACTATGCTATAAATGACTAATGCTTGTATAATATATGTAAATGTAATTGGTTTCTTGAAAAATTATATCTTGAATTTTGACGCACATCCTCACCATCTGGATGTTTGGCGGTCCACCACTGTGCGTTTAACTAGGAGTTTTCTTCCTTGTATTACAACCTTTCTGTGGAATGGTTTACCACCGGCTACTGTTCCGGGCCTACGACTTAGGGACTTTCAAGAAAAAAGCTTACTCCTGTTTAAAAGTCCGGCAACGCACCTGCAATTTCGCTGGTGTTGCGGTTGTTTATGGGCGACGGTAGTCACTCACCATCAGGTGAGCCGCATGGTCGTTTACCTCCTCTTTTATAAAAAAATAAAAAATAAAAAAAGCTCAAACGATATAGATGTAATTTTGTATTTATATAATACAATGATTTCTTATAATTGCGTGAACACTACACATTGAATAAAACTATTTATACGGATTTTATCACGTTTAATTAACTCATTCTTAATTCCCAAAGTTTCGGGTACTTTACTGCGCCTTGAGACTTTTAGATCTACGGAGAAGTTGAGACCAAAAATCATTATTCAAAAACTGAAGGTAGCCGGGCTAACTGAAATTGGGACGTCAAACATCTCAGTCTCCCCCGTGACCATGGGTGCTGTAAAGCAACCGAAACATCGGGAATTAAAAATAAGTTAATTAAGCGTGATAGAATCCGTATAAATAGTTTTATTCAATTTATATAATATTTCACTTTCCACGCTCTTTTAAATAGGTCTTATCCATGAGATTTCGCTTACGGCGAGCAAAGCTCGGTCACCGGGGTACTTAGTATTATGTATTAATTATTTGTAGGCTTTGCGTGAACAAATCATTTAAGCCGATTCATATTTTTATGCTAATTACGTTTTCCTAATGGAAACCATTAAGCACGTGTATAGCGCATATTATACGGCAGAGTGAAGAATTTTATGACTGAAGAATTCCCCAGGTTCTACCCGTTTAACGAGGGCATTTTTTTAAATTCTTGCAAATGGCAGACTTTTAACCTAGTTTACTTTTGTATTAAAATGCAATCTAACCCGATTGCATACATCGCATTATTCTACATTTAAAAACCATTTATGACTAATGCAAAGACTTCTAGCTAAGCGCAACGCGTTTAACTTTTTTACAGAGCGTGAACAGTCGACTGAAAAAAAAAACAACTTACGTGGGTGAACGTTGGATAAGGTTTTACAAATTAATTGTTCTAATTGCTTATATTTTTTATTTTTCGTTTGGTTTTAAACTTTTCAAAAATACGCAAAAATATCAAAGAAAATTAGTTACTACTTCTGGTGTACTTAAAATGTTGTATACATTTATTTAACTGTCCATAATGTGTTTAAAATGTGGAAATACTTGTTATAATTAAATGTAAAATTTTACATGTAACCTCTACCTAATATAGTACTTCTGAATCTAATCTTTACTCATAAAAAATCTAGTATCTGCATATAATTTTTGGATTTCAGTTTTCTGTTTGTTTATTTAATTTTTTAAATAAATCTAATGTTAATAAAATTGTTTTAACTATATGAACGGATTTAACTTGAAAGAGGCCCAGTTAAAATGCACTTAAATTGCAAATTTTGGCCTATCCTATTTATGATGTACTTAAAACGTTGAATAAATACATTCTACTATCCAAATGATAAAAATGACACTTACACATTTTAAATGTCGAAATAATTTTTATTAGTAAATGAAAAATGTTACATGTTACCTCTACCTAATATAGAAGATCTAAAACTAATTTTTACACATAATAAAAATCTAGCGTCTGCATATAATTTTCGGATTTCGGTTTTCCGTTTGTTTATCTATTTTTTTTTAAAGAAATCAAAAGTTAATAAAATTGTTTATAACTGTATGAACGGATTTAACTTAAAAGTATTGCATCTGTCGATATTAAATTTACGCAAACTGTAGTATTGCGTTTAGTATGTATAATACTATGTACCCTTGGATCTATATAAGATCTGATGTTTTAATTTAAGTAAGGTAAGAGTTTAATGCCTTTGAGAAATAAATTAAAAATAAATTCAGTATTAAAGGGTTCCAAAGATATGATTGTTTTTTCTGTATTTACTTTTGTGATATAGTCGCGAGTACAGCTAGTTAATTATACAAAAGAGTTATGAACTTACCCTAACAATGATTCTTAGGTCTTCAGCGCTCCGTGAGTGATACCTGATTCTTAATCGCGTAATCTTGTATCCTGGCGTCACGCTCGACGATCAAACGACCACTGCCGGTGGTAAACAAACCGACCACGTTACTGCCGAATAAATTTCAATGTCCTTGGACGATGGTGCTGACCGACGATTGGCGCACCACCAAGGACAGGGCTGTCGTTTTTCTGTGTTCCGACCTTCAGTTAGCTCGTAAATATCTTTAAAGAAATTTGACTTTTTCCTCTTAGAATTTTTTACAAGTATTATTTTACACGTGTAGCGAAGAATATGTGTCGCGGACGAGGTCAAAACACAAATTGCTGCATAGCAAGGGGAATGCGGTGTTTTGTGGAAATTACACAACTTCTAAAACGTAAAATTATGTTACAGTTTTTGTGATAGATAATTTTAACATCGTTCAATATACTTCTAAAATTGATGAACAAGAAATGTTCACGTCTACCTACGTTATTCTAAGTTTAAGATAAATAAGAAATACATTCATAATATACACACATAATATTGCTCAGTCCGAATAAATCAACTTAATAATTTTAATATATTATACTTTGTATCATCTATAATATAATATGTTTTATTTTTCTTTTATAATTCTCAAAAGTTGTTTTATTAGAGATTTATAACAAATAGAAATATGACAAAAAGAAAGTGTGTATTACAATAAATTAAAACAATTCACACTGACCCAAGTCTACTCTTGATAATGAACAACACGCACGCCAAAAAGCTGAATATTCATAACTTAAATATTGTATACATTGTACATTAAGTACAAGATTGAACTACTGTTGCAGTATTTAAATTAGTTAAGCTTATTTTTCATGTTTCTAAGCAGCTGAATTAAAAGCAACTACGTATTATACTTTTCCAACTGAATTATTATGATATGGGTTTATTGTATCACGTGTTTCAAGCTAATGTGTTGGTTATATTTTCTTTAAAAGCTTTTTAATAAGAAATTTTCTTTTGTGATTGTTATTTTCAAATTTAAAAAAAAATTATATTCATCATATTAGTATATCAGTATTTAAATTAGTTAAGCTTATATATGTAAGTGTTATCAATTAACATTTAATATTTTTAAAAGATATTTCTGTTAAAATTTACACCACAAATATAGATTTATGGGACAGATGAACTCACAGTCCACCGAATGGCAAGTGATTACTTCAGCACATGGACACAAAATGGAAATGAGAATATTCGCAGTAGAACCAGAGTGACTGACATAGCCCAACGGATTACTAAGCTGAAATGGCAATAGGCCGGCCATATAGCTCGAAAAACCGACAACCGATGGGGAAAAAAGGTCTTCGAGTGGCAGCCTCGCACTGGTAGGCGTAGTGTAGGGCAACCCCCCACTAGATGGAGTGACGACCTGGTATGACATGCAGGAACTCGATGGATGCAGGTGGCTTAGGACCGTGCTTAGTGGCATACCTTGGAGGAGGCCTATGTTCAGCAGTGAACTAGTAAAGGGCTGTAATGATGATGATAATGATGATGGACACCCAAAAACATCTACAAATAAAATGCCTGTCACCTGTGAGGACTAAGATGGAATAGCTCTCACAGCCTGTAATAATACTGGCCCTACTCTATACTCTAAAACATCACTTGAAAGTATAATATATATATATATATATATATATATTTCTTTCAGACCGGAACAGTGCAGGCACTGCTATTTAGCAGCAGAATTAAGGGAGTGGGCAGCGCCAACAACGTTGGTCTCCCAAGCATAAAATAAGTCAAACCACCAACAAATTTGTATGTTTCTTTCTTATAGGGTAGAGTAACAAACGAGCACACTACACTTGATGGTAAGTGGTTGCTGTGGCCCATAAACATCTCCATCTATCCTCGATTACGAATCAAAATGCAGATGCGTTGTCACCCGTGAGGACTTAGATGGAATGCCTCGTTTTCAGTATAAAAGGCCTCCGGTTCTCCACACTCACCATACGAAACACGGCAGAATTAAGCTACTATTTTACGCCGGTATTTTGTGAGAGAGTGGTCCTTCCCTGGACGAGCTGACCCATTCGCGTTACAACTATACTACTAATATAACCGCAGCATGGCTCTACCATGCACGTATGTTGTAAATTTTCAATAAAACTATTAATAGACAATAACATGCATCGGAATGAGGTCCATATCCTAATATGGATATTCCTCTCTACGCATTGGTAGGGGAATATCCATAATAAAGATAAAATATACGAATTTATTCGAACACTTACAGGTGGTTCTGGAGTATATACTGGCAGCGATATGATGGTAAACGACTCCTCGTCGCTATCCAGCATGGAGTCGTCAGCTAACTGGAGCCAACGGCTTCGGGCTGGTCGCCACACTTTGTTGCTGGATTTTTCTTGATGTAACGAAATATTTATTTAGGTCCGTATGAGCAGTCACTGTTCGTTTTGATACCACCTTAGATAATCTATTTTAAGTATTGATGTAATATTTTATGGATGTAAAAAATAAATATGATTTTTTTTGCATTTACGAAGCTTTATTATTTTTTATTTATATAACAGGTAAGAATAGTTTTGATTAAAGGAATTTCAAACGAAAGAAGCTATGATTTTGCTATAAACTGATAACGATAACAACTTATTAGTACTCCAAATCGCGACAATTATAAATTAAGCGACAGTAGCCTTAATGGCGAACACAAAAGGTCGAGAGTTCGAATCCGCCATTCGACTGCTGTCGTGAACAACTTCTAACACAAGCATTTTAAGCTTACCAGGAGTGGTAAAAAGAATATTGGTAATGTAAATAGATATAATATTTTTTTTAAATCCGAAAATACACGAATTATTTGATTCTTAATGAACGCCAATTACAGTTCAATCTTAACTACTCGTAAATGTAAATACATACATTCATTACATTTTACAATCTCTCTCTTTCTGTCTCTCCATCTCTGTGCCAACCGTTATTACGCCGAGATATACGCTTTACGTGTTAGTTTGACATATATGTTATCAAGTTAATACCTATTTTTTACTTTAGATAACTTGTATGACTAATATAATAATATGAAAGTATGTGAAGATATTTGATTATTTGTTCTTAAATTAACGACTAAACGGGTTTAGACTTAATTTAGTGCACGGATAGGCCACGTTGGGGATTGAAGCGTTTCTATTTCCAAGAGGTTAGAGGTGCGGTCGGAACTTATAAAATATTATTTATCGTAGAGTTTTTGAAAAAAATGTCAAATTTTAAATAACTTAGATGTCATTCAAGTGAACAAACCAATAGGATGGTGACTGTTAATGTGTCGTGCGGGTATGCAGTTAGATCTGCATCATGTTTTACATATCGCTGTGCGACGCAGGTCCGGTCTGCACCGATCACCCCAGACATACATTAGCATAAAGAGTCACTAAATCTTAAAAAACGTTTTGAGTTATGGATTTGATAGTTGCATGAAACAAAGTTCTGATTACTAGTTTAAATGAAATGCCTAACACTCATAATGAATTCTATCTATAATTCTAGAACGATCTAGAAACACAGCTGGATTATACTGCTATTATACACCAGTAAGACACTATAAAGTAAAGTCTATGCTATCGTGGCCCTTCCATGTCGAGCAGAACCATCTGTTCCGCAATCTTCCATAAACTGCCTGTAATCGTTTTTTACAAAATGGGTGTGACAAACGAGCACACAGTTCACCTACAGTAATTGAATACGGTGGCCTATAGACATTTCTATCTATCCTCAGTTAAGAATCAATATACAGTTGCGTTGTAGTAAAAAGGATCACCGAATCTTTACACTTACGATACAAAACACAGCAGCATTAAACTGCTATTTTATGCTGTTATTCTGTGACATTGTGATTCTACCCCGGTCGATCCGACCCATTTGTACTACGATCATAATATGGCTCTAGCATGTGATTCTACCACGTACCACGCTTTTTTAACATTTGTAATTATTATTGACTTTTTTAGATTATGTATCCTCCTACGAAGAAAGATGTAATTTTGTAATATTTTTGATTGCTGCGACATTTAGTTTGTCTTCGTAAAAGAATATTCTTTAATTTTCTTGTGTTAGCGTGTTAATGGCGCAATCTATATCGTTAAATCCACTTTAAACTGACCGGATATTATCAGAGTGTGGTTTGAAAACATTAATTTCCAACTAATTTCTTTGATTGCTTTAATGAATTGTTTTGCCTTGGCTCTTAAAAATTTTTAAGGCATAGTTTTAACAAAGTACAACATTATTTTTGTGTATAATATATTCATTTCAGTACAACTGCGAGTCAATATTTTTAAATGAGCATTACTGTAAAGTTCAAATTATGTATATAACTATATTAGAATATGAACCGAGAAATACTAATATATGTCTAGAAAGTAATTTTCAAAATTCACTACCTCACAGAAAGAGCAATGACACGGTCTAAAATCTTATATCACTTTAGATTAGAAGAAACGCTAGCGTAGGCTATATACCTTGCTACACAAAGATGTCGAAACACTGTTATAACGCCAGCTACAATTATACTTAACAAAAACCTGCCATAAATTATACAAGATATGGAGACGGAAATGTACTTTTTGCAAAGAAGGACGAAGTGCGCTAGGACTTACTGCGATACGTCTTAACGTGTCACTTGCGATCGAATCTGAGACACGCAACTATTGTTACTTTGTCACGAAAGAATTTGTTGCAACTATTAAAAAGAAACAAAGGAAAATCATGAAAGAACACAACACCGTTATTTATTTATTTTGTGTAATATATTGAGAAGAAACACAATGGCTCAATTATTTTAAGGCTTTGTGTTAACAAATACTGTGAGGAGAGTATATTTAAACGATAAAAAAAGGAAAAATAACGCTTTGTTAAATTATCTGTCCTCCGTATACCATTTGACCGTCTAACGATTAAGCAAGCTTATATTTAAATCGATCGTTTCAATAATCTCTTAAAACATTATTTGCAATAAGAAATAGACTTTTTTGTAAACATTCTACTGTTGTTCTAGATGTGTCATTTTAATCATTTAAGTTATGGAAATGAAGTATATTATATATTTTCATCAAAAATTTTAACAAACTCTATTAAACGCTTCGTTAGTTATTCAAAAACTTGATAAGGATAAAACACTATTGTTATCTTCATAGAGATCTTCTGTTATTTATAACTTAACACAAATTTAGGAAGTACAGAACGATTAAACATTAAATATTCTAAAATCACTATATTTCACAGGCTTGATTTAATAATATGTAGCGTAAAACTACTAAGATCAAAAAACTTCCACAGCTACGTCCGTAGTGTTAAAAACCATGTAAGGTACTAGGCACAACTTAAAAGAACAGCTGATTCCGCACTAACAAAACAAAGCCTATTCAGGAATATATCGAAACATCACACGTGAAACTGTAGAATTAATGGACAAACGTGTTTAACTCGCTAACATAAGGCTCACATTTGTAAGCAAGAGGAGAGCCGCGTAGCACGGTTTACTTCAAACGACTATTCGAAATTTCACACGGCAGTAAAAGTGGGCTAAGCGCCAAGGTCACTTTCCGCCAGTCCACGCAACCAAGTACCCCTTACCAGCCCTTTATTACTACAAGCTGATACCCATCGGACCCAAGACTGTGGCGCACAATTAATACACTTTTTGAGTTAGTATTCATATTATTAAGACTGGTCACGATCGCACAATCACGCGAACTGATAAAATAAATCGGGATAATGCGTAACAATAAAATAAGAAAATTAAGCGAAGGTTGACATAAAATGGTTTTAGAACCTTGGACTAGTTAGCTTTTCGTCAATAATGAGCTGGCTATGCGGAAATATAAATAATTTGGCCTTGCAGTTTTGGCAGGTTCTTCAGTTCTTGTACACTTACGACAAAATTTAGGAATCCTTAATTCCCTTATTTCACTAAGTATATATGTATCGCTGGAGGACTTAAGCACTATGCTCAATGACTTCAATAGTGCCTCCCAACGGATAGGTCTTAAGATGAACATGGACAAAACAAAGATTATGTTTAATGTCCATGTCACACCTATGCCGGTAGTTGTTGGGAGCACTATGCTCGAAGTTGTTGACGAGTACGTTTACCTGGGACAAATATTCCGACTAGGTAAGTCCAACTTCGACCGAGAGGTCAATCGACGGATTCAACTCGGCTGGGCAGCGTTCGGGAAATTACGACATATCTTCTCGTCAGGTATACCTCAATCTCTGAAAACTAAAGTGTACAACCAGTGCGTGTTGCCAGTGATGACTTACGGATCAGAGACGTGGTCCTTCACTGCTGGCCGTATGAGGACGCTCAAGGTCGCTCAGCGAGCTATGGAGAGGGCTATGCTCGAGTTTCTCTGCGTGATAGACTCAGAAATGAGGATATCCGCAGTAAAACCAGAGTGACCGACATAGCCAAACGGATTAGTAAGCTGAAGTGGCAATGGGCCGGCCATATAGCTCGAAGAACCGATAACCGATGGGGAAGAAAGGTTCTCGAGTGGCAGCCTCGTACCGGTAGGCGTAGTGTAGGGTGACCCCCCACTAGATGGAGTGACGACCTGGTAAGATATGCAGGAAGTCGATGGATGCAGGTGGCTCAGGACCGTGCTTTGTGGCATTACTTGGGGGAGGCCTATGTTCAGCAGTGGACTTGTGAAGGGCTGTGATGATGATGATGATGATGATATATGTATGTTAAGAAAACTAAAAATATGTAGTTCATTTGTTTCCACTTTACAGAAAATTAAATATCTGTTCCTTAAATTTGTTACTGAATTGCGCTTGTTCATAAAAAAATATTTGCAATAAATAACTCCTCGTTTTTTTCCGTAAAGTTGATTTACTTCTTTTTCTTATTTTGGTTTAGATGATTTTACTTTCTCTTGCCTATCAAAAGTCTACTGTTAAACATAGGCCTCCCCCATAGATTGACTCATAGAGAGGATATTTGGCGTATCTGCCCCGCTTAGCAAGCGGATTGGCAAACGCAGTATTTTTATTATTTTGATCAGAAAGATGCTGCTACCTATCTCCTATTTAATTTCCCGCTGTCACCTATTGCGACACCCATGGGATGATGTGGGATATTGGAGTTTCTTACTTAAAACTAATTTTCTTATTATTAAAAAAAATAACCTTATTATAGGATCTTTTTTATTGAAGAGGCGTTTAATGTACATGCGTAAATTATACATGAACAAACATCCGGATCCGGAACAATACAAACACGTGTTCATTGCGGGATTAATACCTATGATGATAATGCATGATATCACCAAAGCTG